CACGCAGAGAGCACAGCCAGAAGCAGACGGAGCCCGGAGAGCCGACTGCCGCTCATCTCCACAGCTGGACACGGCCTCGCCCACCCAGTGGGCATCACGTGGGCAATGTCAGGCCGAGAACGTGTGCACGGCCAGCCTGCAGTTTCTCACGGTCGGTGGTCTAATGAACTGCATCTGCACCCTTCCAGAAAACAGGCGTGGAGAGATAGAGGAAGGCCCAGCACCGGCAGGAACATGCTTCTCCCTGCCAGGACGCACTGCCAGTTAGGGAGGGGTGGAGGGAGCCGCCTTACAGGGAAAACAGAGTATTGAGGAGGCTCCTGCTTCACTTCACACCTCTGGTTCCACCTGAATTTTAAGTACATGCGGGTATTAGTTTCATTTTTGCAAGAGAGGGGATCTAGGCAAGTGGGACATTTGGCCCATCGTCTGTGCATTTTTTCTGTCTTTAACATCAGTAATGAACCTTGCATGTAAAATCTAACACACAGCGAGTGTCTGCACTATCAGAGTGACTAAAATGGATAATTATGTCGTTGAAAACAAACTGTGCCTGTCTGATGGCTAACATCTATTCATATTTCACACCCCGATTCTACCAAGATGAAACACATACCTCTCTGTTGCCCACAGGCAGTCCTCCCAAAGCATCCCCCAAAGTTCCCGACACCCTGCAACCAGAGTATCAGGCTGTGAGCTCAGTGCACTGACCTATGTGGGTGGGGAACAGTGTCCTCCGTGAGACGTGCAGCCAATCATTACTGGGACTGTGCCTCCTCTGACTTCCTTTTTAAATGCCTAATGGTTGAAATCCCAGAAGGTTCTTCCAGGCCGAAAGGCATGAATGGTGGACGTTCTCCGCAGACCCCTCAGCTCCAACAGCCTCCCAGAAAGTGGCCGGCAAGTTGCTGGGTCTACTCCCTGCCCTGCCCTTTGCCCTCCAAGTTTCTAAACAAAAGTGTAGCAGCAATGGTTGGGGTGACTGACGGGTGAAGGGAGGACAGCCTGGGTTCAGGACTATAAAAATGCAGGAAATAAGAATGAAAACACTGACTTAGGAGAGCTTGGGGGAATTCAATAATTCATGGGGGGCAGTGCCTATGGCTCAGAGGAGGGAGGTGCTGGCCCCATAAACCGGAGGTGGTAGGTTCAAACCTGGCCCCGGCCGAAAAAAATAAAAGACTAATTCATGGGGAATGCTTAACATGCACCGGGAGTATTTGGTGCATACGAGGTAACACTGAAAATAATAACCATAAAGACCATCCACTCACAAAATTATCAACTCCTGAAACATCAGAGTCAACAACTCACAATCCCATTTAGCAAAGTGGGGAGTGGAGGGAGGGAGGGAGAGTGCAAGGGGAGCTGAGCTGAGGCCTTCCAAGCACCCGGGTCCCCACACCAGGGCTCCAGCCTGAGGCTCATCCAGGGAGGGGACACAGGAGCAGTGAACTGTGTGAATCGGGAATAACGTAGTTGGGGAAAAACACAGTCTGGTCCCTGTGGTGACTTTATGCCTCTGGAGTCTTCCTTTCTAAAAGCCCGATAGTTAGAATCACAAAGGCTGCCAGTTCTCCCTGACCTTCTGCTCTCAAGTTCCTAACATTAGAGAGGCAGGACCAGCACAGCAGGTGAGGGCAGAGGGAACGGTGTGAGGCTGGGAGGTTGACAATGTAGGAAATAATAATGACAGCATCCCCTAGAAGAGTCGTTGAAGAATTAAATAAGATAATGCTTGGAAAATACTTAGCAGATGTGGGAAGCATGTGATATACATTAGGCGACAGCAGGAATGGAGATAAAGAGAACGCCCCACAGTGTGGCCAATCTCTGAATCCCCTGCAGCCTGTCATCTTTTTAGAGCAGAAGAATATACGTCCCCTGCGCCCCTGGGTGCACTTACGTCCTCAGAAGCATGAGTGCCGAATCCCAGCACTGGCATGGAGTGTCCATCGTTCAGCTTCACGGACTGACGGGGGCTCAGACCCGCCATCGCCCAGGCCCAGTGAGTCTGACTCTGTCCTTCCCTCCTGTCCCTCACTGAGAGCCCAGGAGGGGACAGGGCTCCAGCTTTATGTCCACGACCACAAGTTGGGCGGGGCTGAAATTTTAACTCCAGGAATTCATTAATGAAACTGGAATCCGTCGACCAACATTCCCCTGATCCCTTTTCGCACCTGCAGGCGGGTCTTAGAGCAAAATCACACAGAAATCTCTGCCTGCTGGCGGGCTTTGAAATTCCTCTTCTGCCTGGTTCACACTTGACTCCTAAGATGAAAATCCAGGTGCCAGCTTGTCCTTCGTAATTACGCCGGCTCACTTTAGAAGCTCAGCATGGGCTGGTCATTTCTAAACGCTGACCCTGCTACAGGGCCTGACCTAAGCACCTCCTCACCCTGTATTGTCTGTTTACCTGGGCATCCCATCAAAATATCCCTTCCTGAAAATTTCTTGAGGAAAGATAGTCCCTCACCCAGCCCTGTGTCCTCCTGTTCTCTCTGTGTCCTTGAATCTCTTTTGCAGGAGAAATGTCTGAGATTGCCGAGAATATTCTGTGCTCCTGCCTGTGTTCCAGCTGCAGTTTGTCAGGAAGGGCCTGCTCTGGTCCCCACCGACGTGTTTCCTGGAGCTCATGACCCTCTCCCGACCCTGACAGAGGAGCTCTGGCCTGGCAGCATGGAGGGCCCCCGTGGTCCCCCTATGAGGTGGACACCCTCTCCCCAGGGCCCTTGCCTTGATAGGGCTCCTACTCTGTTCAAAATAGGGGAAGGGGCTGGTATTAGCCAGAAAGTTAACGGCAATTGAAGATCTTGAATTTTGTGATGCGTCACAACCTCACGGGGCTGCAGGACTAAGGGTGTTTGGGGAACAGAAAGTGCAGGTGCAGAGCCAGCATGGAGAGCACTGGGCACGCTAACAGCCTTCTGTTTGCTTTTTATTCATGATCAGCCCTTTTCTCTTTTATGTGACAGGACCTGTCAGTGAAATCAAGGTAAAGAGAGGGAAAAATAATAATCCTTGTTCTCCCCTCCCCCTCAGAGGACCCTCCTCCCTCTCTGGGTCACGTCCACAGAAGTCATCTTGCCTCAGAGCCAAAAGACTAATGAACTGTAACCGGAAAACTTGCTGCCCAGGACGGCGGGCGGTTTCTACCCCGTTCTGAGGCCACAGAAAGAACAGAGGCCTGGTTTTTAATTCCAAAATCGTCCCTAAAAGGCTATTGGTTATTTGCACATCTGCTTCCAGGTGTTTCCCCTGCAAAACCTCAGAAACACTGGACAGCAATTTCAACAAATAGAATGATTGAGGGGGGAGGGAAAAGGGAGGGGGGAATGGGTGGAGGGAGGGGGATTGGAGGGATCACTTCTGTGGTTCATCTTACAGGGGTACAAGTGAATCTTTCTAAGAGTAGAATGTGAACGTTTTAAAACAATGACTGAGAAAATGACATGAAGGCTGTGTTGACTAGTTTGATGGAAGTATTTCAGATTGCATGTGTAAACCCCACACTGTACCCCAGAAGTGCATTAATGTACATAGTTACCATTCAATAAAAAAAAAAAGAATGATTAAAAAATTAACCTTCCCATTTTACGAGGCTCTTTTAGAGCCCCTCGAACCAGAGGTAAAGAACCTTTGCAACCCGAGCTTGTGTGGCACACCAGGTATGTGATTGTAGCTGGTCCAACACTCCATCAAGTCCTCTGGTCACCGTGACTCAGCAATGTCTCTCGCAGAGGGAGGAGCCATCAACACAAGGGCAACAGATTCACACAAGCAGGCTTGCTAGGTGTGGCTGCTATCACGCGGGGTGTGTAGTGGAGCAGCGTCTGACCCCTGACCGCTGAGGACCTGCCTGTCGGGTCAGACAAGTTTGGCGGTTCTCAGCCACAGAGCCACAGGACGTCGCCATGTTCTTCCAAGATGCCGTAGCTGTGCACAGAGATGTCCTGCTTCTGTCATTCCCCTGGGTATAAAGACGCACAGGACTGTCCATCTGTGCCATCCTCCTGTGTACCTCGCCAGCCTCCGTGAGCTGGATGGGACATGTTGCACCTGTCCCCGGCACCCGAGTTCCTCTCCACCTGCCAATCAGAACACTTCATTACACTGCCCCAAACCAAACCGGACTTGAGACGCTCATCTCCTGCTGAACCTGAGGCCAACAGTGAGAGACATCGACCAGAAACATTGTCAACTGCCTACACTATCTAAAAGCTACATAACAGGGTTTTAAGCCACTCATTCTGTTACCCTTTCTGGGCATTTCCTCTATGTGTTAATAAGTTTATATTCATTGTGCAGCAAAAATGTAAGCCCTACACTAATGAGAAAACAGATTGAGGATAATATTGGACTGGAGAGAAAATTGACTCACCAACAAGTCCTGTCCTCAATCGATGACTTACCTTGCACTGAAACCTTTGGCTAGTTTTGATGTCAGTCAAAAAATCCCGCCATTTCATTATGGGGGAGGTTCAGAAAACTCAGATTCACAGCCCAGACAGACACAGAAAACGGAATTTAATGTTTTCCCTTTGCCTTCAGAAATCCATCTTCAGTAGGAAAAGCCATCAGCTGCCGGTCTCTTAAGAATGAAGTGTCCAATTATGTAGAGAGTCAAGACAATTGGGAAGCTCAGAATGGAATATTAAGTTCCCCACTAGATTCTTGTCCCTTAAAAAATGTTGCAACAAGCGTGAGAAGGCATGAACCACAGAGTCTGGAGGGACCCATGACCGTGTGAGATGGGACGTCCCTGTTCCTTCTCTGCTTACAGATTCTCCTGTCCCGACTGCCGCGAAGACGCACAGCTCTATGCCCAGGCCTGTGCCTGCCCCCTCCTCTCTCTGGGAGAGAACTACCCGGGGCTTGCTGGGGGGCACAAGGGACTCTTGGATGAGCAATTAGTCATTTGGACCTTTCAGTTTATCCTTACAAAATCCATTTTGGGAAAAAAAAATGGGGGAAATTCCTTATTCCTGAACTATCATTATTGATTTTATTGGAAAAAACATTATCTCATTGAACTTGAAAAATGGATAGAAGATTTTGTAAATATTTCTAGTTTAGATAGAGTTTAATTTATTGGGATGCTCATTGTGAGATGCTGAAACAGGGATCCCAATGGCAAGTGAGTCTTATGAAGGGATTTTAATTTTATGATTTCACAAACTAGATTTTTTTTTCTTGTTAATGTCACCACGCAGACAAACAGTTCTGGGCAGAACTGTGGGGAACAGGCACCTGCAATTAATCCCCCTGTGGTCTCCGCTGCTGGGCAAAGGCACGGAAGGGCGAGAGGTGACCGGTCCCCCAAATGGTGCTGTTCCCAGGACAGTGACAAGTCATCTCAATTGTACTGCTTTTCTTAGTCCAAACACCAGATACATGAAAAGAGACCCTCACCACACAGTGTCAGAGACAGAACAAGAAAAAAAGGAGCCACCAGACTTGCTAGGGAAGGAGGCAGAGAAAGCCCTGAGGGAGGGAGACGGGAAGATCGCGCTGACCCAAACACTGAAGAAAAACACAGCAGAAAGCAGGGTGAGGACGAGATGG